GTTAGCCTTGATGGGGATTGCGTTGGGAATTTATGTATCACCTGTGCTGATTATTGAATCGAGAACTCGCTATCCTGTCTCCTTATGCCTCCCATACACTTGCTAAATTTAACCTGGAAGTAATATCTATATATCTATATATAGTGGTGTTTCATTTTAATCATGGAAAATGTGGATTTTGCGTTACTTCTTTTAATCCCAAAATTGGGTATTTTTTTTATCAGAGAAACCCAGGATCTCTGGTCATGAAGGAGTTCATTTTTTTCCTCTTTCACAAATGTTGTATTGCCTTCTGGGGCTGTTTGGCTTGTTTAGTGGGTGATAACAAGCAGGTTGCCCAGCCTGTTGGATTCTGCAGGCCGTTTTGCTCGCTAACCTGCTACTCAGCCACTCCTCCCAGTTAAAACATAGTCTTTAGGTACAGAGCAAGCAAGCAAGCAAACAACAACAAAAACCCAAATCCTTCCACCCTAACCCAGGCACTAGGAAGAAAGCCTTTGGCTCAGGGCCCAACACCTGGCCCCCCTGTGCAGCAAGTTGTTCAGCTCACTGCCTTTCTTTTCTCCTTGCAACTTGCAGTTCTGCTTCCTCTCAGCTCTCTCCTCTGGGGTTTTGAACTCTCTGTGGGACACCTGGTCAAAGCAGAAGGCCTTAATAGGGCTGGCGACTCCTTCCGACAGGGACAGACCACCCTACTGCAATGTTTGTTTTCCTGCCTTGCCTCCTTTTGATTCACTAAATGTTGGCGTCTTCTCTGAATCACTGATCCCCATTTAAGACAAGGGGGTTTGACTTGGGTGGTGTGATGTAGTGTCTTGCTTTGCAGCTAAGGGTCAAAACCATCACCACATTTGGGGTCAGGAAAGAATAAAAATGCTTTCTTTTATGAGCTCCGTCCCACCAGGACATATAATAGGGGATCTCTTCATTCTCAGTGAGTGGAGGTCCCACTGAACTGCCTTTATCACCAGTAGGAAGAGCAGTAGTAGTTCCTTGCTGCCTTCTCCCCCCTGCCACTGTTTTTGCAGCATATTGCTCCTGCAGTGCTGTCTCTCAGAGATGTGCAACCTCAGTGTCTGGCCTGAGACAGAAGGTCCTGACTAACCTGGGAAAATCATCTCATCTCCATTTCCTTGCCTATAGTGGAAAGATGATACTTGTCTACTTCACAAGCTGTTTCCAGGAGTAATTCTATCAACAACTTCATCTTTTTGATCCTTCAAAATTACTTTGAAGTTTTTTAAAAAAAAAGGATGCTGTGGGAATGAGCTAAGTGTTACAACAACCTCAAGGTCTTTAACTTGCCCTGTCCCGTTCTATGTCTTTTCTGCCTCTGTATGAGAGTATGTACATTTGCACACACCCACTCACCCATGCCACGTTAAGCAGGTTGGCAGAGGGGGGGGTTGGCTCTTTTTTTTTTTTTAATATCTGGCTGCTTCATTAAGTTATAAGAATGGGACCTGAGCTATTTGAAAAGCTGATGCTGTTTGTTCAAATCTAGCCCAAGCTGGGAGCACCTGAACAGCATGGCTATCTTGTGACCTGATCACAATCCATCTGAAATGAGTGTTTGATCTCCATCCAGTTCCCACGGAGCAGGTGTTCACACTAATAAAATGAGAGCCAAAATTGGCAGCAGGGGAGGATGGGTCAGGGAAGAGAATGGAGATGAATGCCCCTTTCATCCTTCGGAGACCAAGCCAAGGTGAGCTGAGCAGCGTGGGGAATGTCTTCTCTTTACTAGGAATGGGGAGAGGACTCCAACCTCCCAGCCTGGCAGCATTCGCACAGAAGCACCCTGTTTAATCCACTCTTCTGTTCCTAGCACTCACTGAGCAGCAGCAAATGGAAATAAGGCACGAAATGGAGACGAGGACACACTGCCAGATATAAGAAACCAAACTGCCACTGCCAGCGCTGTCCTTTTTGGGTTCAATTAAGTACCTATTTGAGGCAGTAGAAAGATTTCCCATTGACCTGAATGGGCATTAGGTCAGGCCCTTTTATTATTACCTGTAACCAGAGTGGGACAGAAGGAGACATCCAGACCGTTCAAGGAAGAGTTAATGCGTGAATGCACGAAACATTCAATGGCAGCTTTGTCACAGTTGCAGAGTAACTGTTCACAAGGGTCCCCAGATCCTGGAGACAAAACAATTCAAACAAGGTGCTATTGAGAGATCGGTTTCCACCATCTGCCTTTGCTTCCCTGTAAAGTTTTCATCAACAGCTACATTTCATTATGTAGTACACACATTAATTCTGTATTTCTACTGGTTTTAAAGTGAAACGAATCCAAGGGGTTGAATTATGCTAGGGAATTTTTTTAATTAAATTTATCAGTAAATGCCATCAAGTGTTTCAAAGGTCTGTCATACACAGAACATTATCCATTATTGGCCATTACATGCTGGAGGTGGGACTTGGTACAGATCTTTTTGTATGTACAGTAGGGGTATATCACAGAATACTAGAAAAAGGTTTGCAAAACAGTGATGTTGAAATATTATTTTCCCCCAAGCTAATAATTCTTTGACAAACATATTTTGGAGAAGTAATTTATTTCCATGCTCATACTTGGAATGAGGAGCACATTTATGTATTTTAATTTGAGCAACAATCCCTTTTCCGTTTTCAAGTAAGGGACAGTTGAAAAAACACTCTTCCTATTTCAAAGCAAAACTAAAGCAAAAAATGGTCTTATTTGAAGTAAAGAAGGAAAATAGGTTTGGTGGTTTAACTAAACCAGGTTTTATGGCAGAATGATTCTTTTTTGTTACTGTTACTGACCCCTTACACTGGCAAAACTGGGATTAGATTCTGGTAAGCAGATTTTTCTGAGGACTAGATCTTGGTGGGAATCATTTTTGCAATGTACAAAATAGTATCATAGTTTCATAGTAGCTAGGGTCAGGAGGGTCCTAAACAGATCATCTAGCCTGCCCCCTGCCACAGGCAGGAATGAATGCTGGGTTCACAAGACCCCAGACACGTGATCATCCAACCTCCTCTTGAATTTGCCCAAGGTAGGGGCGAGGACCACTTCCCTGGGAAGTTGGTTCCAGATTTTGGCCACCCTAACTGTAAAATATTGCCTTCTGATCTCTAACATAAACCTATTCTCTATCAGCTTATGACCACTGTTCCTTGTCACCCCAGGTGGTGCTGGGGAGAAAAGGGCTCTGCGTATTTGCTGTTGATCTCCCCTGATGAGTTTGTAGGCAGCCACCAGGTCTCCCCTCAGCCTCCTCTTGCTGAGACTGAACAGGTTCAGGTCCCTCAGTCTCTCCTCGTAGGGCCTGTCCTGCTGCCCTCTCACCAAGCGGGTGGCTCCTCTGGACCCTCTCCAGGCTGCCCACATCCCTTTTGAAGTGTGGCACCCAGTACTGGACGCAGTACTCCAACTGCGGCCTGATCAAAGTGGCATAGAGGGGGAGTATCACGTCTCTGGACCGGCTTGAGATGCACCTTTGGATGCATGACAAGGTATGGCTGGCCTTGCTGGCTGCGGTCTGGCAGTGTCCACCTCGCCCCACATCTTAGTGCCATCAGCAAACTTGGACAGCGTGCTTTCCACCCCCTCGTCCAAGTCGCTGATGAAGATGGTAAACAGTGCGGGCCCGAGGACCGAGCCCTGGGGGACCCCACTGCTCACATGTCGCCAGGTTGAGTACAACCCATCCACCACTACTCTCTGGGTGCACCCCATCAGCCGATTTTTTACCCATCCAACTGTGCAGGCATCAATGCCACAGTCACTTAATTTATTGATGAGGATGGGGTGAGAGACAGTCGTTCTAGACTTTAAGAAGGCCTTTGACACTATGTCCACAGCAACACCATCATCCAAGGATTGAGTTACTTGGTCGTAAAAGGCAATCAGGTTGGTCAGGCAGGAACTGCCTTTGGTGAAGCCATGCTGATTGCCCCTGAGCATGATCTCCCCTGCTGGCCCCCCACAGATGTGCTCCTTGATGATCCTCTCCAAGAGCTTCCCGAGCACCGAGGTGAGGCTTCCAGGCCTATAATTACTTGGGTCCCCCTTCCTCCCCTTCTTAAAAATTGGGACCACATTAGCCAGTTTCCAATCCCCTGGCACCTAGCCAGATGACCACCATAAGAATGAACAAACAGAGCATTTCTCAACCATGGTAGCATGTGCTAAGCTTTTAGCAGAGTTTAGTGGAGTCATTTCCCCTTACAAAGATACTAAAATGGCCCTTTACTCTGCCCTGAATGAAAAGATCACCATTTTGGAAATACTTCCCACCATGCAGCTCTTACAACATAGTAATGTTGGGAGTCCAGCTGCACACAAGGCTTTAGTAGCCACTGGCGTTTAGTGTCTTGCTAGCAAATGTGCTCTCAGATTCATGTATTGTACTTACAAATTAAAACTGAGTCCTAGTAGCTGGGCATTAGAAAGGAAATGTGGGCTGAGATTTGGGTGGTGGAAGCAAGTTAGTTGAGCTTGCACAGGAAAAAATATGAATGAGAAATACGAGAAGCAGCAATACTATAAACCGAGAGCACCTGAGAACGATAATATCTGCTACTGTGTCTTATCAAGGAACGTGGTAAGTTCTCCATTACCAAAGTCTTTGACTCAGGCCTGGGTGTCTCTTTAAAAGAAAAGGCCAGCTCATCCAGAGAGTTGGGTTTGGTGCCAGAATTTGGGGGGGGTGGCACTTCTGTGGCTCTCTTAAGCAGGAGATTGGACTGAGATCACAGCAGTCCCTTTTGTGCTTAAAATGAACCTGCTAATTTAGATCTGATGCTTATATGGCCCTCCCATGACCTTGGTATCTGAGTGCCTCAGCAACAAGTCTCTGGGGCTTAATAAGGAGAAAAGGGTTTTAAAAACCTATCAGACCAAGATCTAGGGCTTACATCTGCCCAGATGTCCCAAGTAAGACTAAGACCATATCTATACAACATACTGTGCCTGGCAGGAGTGCCACTACACAAGCTCCCTCCTAAACTTGGAGCAATGTAGCTGCATCTGCATGATGCCTCAGGCAGGCTAATTAGCTTGGAGTGAGGCTAATTGGCCCTGTTGTTCAGCAGTGCTAGTTATCCCACCCAAAGCTCTGAGCGGGCACAACTACATTGCTTTCAGTTCAGAGGCAGCCTTCCCTGAGCAGTGCCGCTGGCTTGAGACCACCGTTGCTGACCAGGGTATTTTCTGCAGTATAGCATAGTTCAAATAGTCTTCGAAAGAGAAACACCCCTGGAATAGGCTGGTTCTGGTTTCTTGCAAAAGAGGGGCCCAGAAAGATTTAGCACGGCTTGGATTTTGTAACAGGGGGACCATCACAGCCTGTCCCCGCGCCCCACCCATCAGCTTAATGACAGGTTATAGGAACCTTACTGCAGGTGAGGTTTTTGGTAAGACAGCTGAAATCTGTTGAAATCTTTGCAGGATCCCACATGCACTCCATCTCGACTGCTTCTTCATAGCATTTGCGGTGCTGGAAACAACAGCTTAATTTAAAACAAAACAAAAAACAAAAACAAAAACAGAGCAATTAAAATCATGGTCTCTAATTTGTCCCAGTTCTTTGCCTCGGTCTGGAGTGGCTGTGCTCCAGTAGTGGTTGTGTAGTGTGTGGAGCCCAGTTGAAGAGCTGGGGGACTTATTTTCCCTCTACCAATTTGGCAGGCATGGGAGTTCATTCTGCTGGCCCTGACAGATTGGGGGTCCCTGATGGCTGAATAGATGTCCTAGGCTGGGCACAGCAGGGTAGGGGTGTGGTTGGCCCTGAAGGGAAAATCCCAGTTCCCTAGCTCTTCTCTGGCTGCTGTAAGAGCCACGGCAGCTGAAGCACAAATTAGGACAGGCCAGTGCTGGCAAATGAATCAGCATCTGAACTTATCAGGGAGGTCTAACTTTTTCCTCTGTCCTTGGGCCCCACACTGTCACAGTCATGCCATTTTGGTGCTTGCTGGTCCCTCTCTCCACTTCCTTGGGGTAATAGCTATGAATCTGTCTGACAGGGATACTTGGAAGGAAATATTAAGATGATGAAACCATGGTGGCAGTGTTGGCAGACATGGATTGTTGCTACCTGGGGGTGCTTTGTTTGTCCTCTCGCTCTGATCCTGCTTACCACATCTGATCTACAAAGGGAAGGAAATGGTTTGACTCGAATGATACCTTCATGGCTCTGGGCAACCAGGGAAGAAGGCAGGTCCCAGACATGGCTTGAGAAGAGACTTTTCTATCTTGGTACAAAGGACATGGATGATGGGGGTTGCCTGATGCAATGAATATCCCCTGGTTACTTGTGGTCCGGGTTGTCCCATTCAGCAGGGGGGAGGTTTTAGCTGGGAAAATCTGTTTGGGTCATGTACATTTTGATGCTGGGCGATAGATATTATTGTTGCTCAGCTTCCTTTAAAATACCCAGGAAGCACTAAAAGGAGCAGAGCGCAGAAGGAAGCATTTTGTTCTAACAAATTCGGACTGTTTGACCTGCCAGATGGGACTCCATTATTCCAGCTCTCTGGTATCCTTTTGCTACCTCTCTGCTGGCACCTTATTACAGTGTGATTATACCGGCATATCACATTCAGACAGGAACATATTCCACAAAGGCCACAGTGACCTGACAAGCTTGGTAGGAAAAAAACCTTGACTGATTTCTTCAGCTCAACAAACACAACTAACTGCATCAGGTTTCCTAGATCAAGCCAAAGTGGGTGAGCTCCAGAATGAATTGTCTTTTGCATTAACTGATCAAGGAACTCCTTACCGCGAGCATCACTGGAGCCTTTTGGCAGTGGTTGTAGAGCACTGTATATGCAGACAGCGCTGAGCACTTTAAATACACGTGCATCTACAAAATCTGAATGAACTAAGCTCTTGCAGAGTTGACACAATTACAGGCATGTGTTTGTAAATGGGAGAACAATGCAAAGCAGAACAAACATAGACTGGTTAAGGGGTCTTTATAGCTGGAAGGCATCAGGGGTGTATAAGGACCCATCACATGTTTTTGGTGCTATTTTTCACTCTATTCATGGGATTGTTCCACGTGCTACTATTAGGATTTGTGCTCAGCGAATTTTCTAAGCAGAAAGGGAAAGTTATCTTGTACAAAGGGAGGGAGGCCTGGGGACTGAGTCCCTTGTCCAGCAAAGTGTTTTAGGCACATGCTTAGCCTTCAGAGCTTGGTGAGACTGAAAATGATGAGAAGTGGTGCCTTGTGTTCTGCCAAAGACTTCCTATAACATCCTTGGCAATGACCACAATCCCTTTCTCAGCCAGAAGGGGAAGATGAGGATACTTCCTTCCCTGGCATTGTCATATCATCATCATCACCATCACCATCACCATTTTGACTGCTGTCAGGCCAAATTCATGACTATTTGTAAAGTGTGATGAGACCCATGGATGGAAGGTGCTAGTCAAGGGCAAAGCTTTATCTGTCTCCTTATGATCTAAAGATCCAAGCTGTGGTCCCTGGTTTTCCCCTATGTTACACTGCTTTTATGACAGTAAAACTCCACCTTCAACACCGTTGTACTAATGTAAGCTTGGCACAGTGGAGAAGACAACCAAGACCTTTAACATTAATGCCAGCTCTAGCCATACTATTTTGGGCTTTGGCAGGTCTGTTTCCCTTCTGTGTCTTGGAACAGAAGATCAGGAGATAAAAATGAAGTGGGAAATGGGCAGGCAGCAGTAACTCCTGAAGACCACAGCTCCTGGGAGTGTCTGACATGCTATCCGCACTGTCCCACAGCAGGTAGTTCTCCGTGTCAGTGTCTCTTTCAAGGTCCTATCTAAACCTGAGCAATGTCTTGTATATATTAATAGGAAATCAAACCATCTATATTAGAGTTGTCCACCTGGAAGCCCCTGGGCCATGTGCGCCCCCCGCAAGAAATCAATTGGCAGCCGCGATCCTGGAACTTCTCTCTATACTGCTCCAGCTCCTGCAGCTGCCACTAGAGTCTCCTCCCTCCTCTGGGTTTCTCTGCCTGTCCCCAACCCTGACAGCAGGGCAGTAGGGCTGAGGGAGCCCATGGTCGGGTGGCTCAGGGGAACCCAAGGACCCTGTGCTGGATGGGGGGCTGGCACAGTGCAGTGGGGTCCAGCCCACCGCACCACAGAGGGGCACCTGTTTCGCAGTACAGAGGAGGGAGGGGACAGACACCTGCCATGCAGTGCAGCATGGTGTGTGGCCCACATGGCATGTAGGCAGGTTGCTTGTGGCCCCCTGCTACTCAGACGTTGGACAGCCCTGATCTACATCATGTTACCCAGGGAAGAAGTCCAACTAAGATGTGACAACCCCACTCTGAATCCACCTGGTTGAAAAGACAGTGTTTCAAGGAGTCTTTTGCCAGGCCAGAGACTCTTGGCGGCTCATCCTGCAGCCTCTCTGGCTCCTGTCTGTACATAGCGTTTCATTGAAATGGTGATCGGCCAGGAGGAGGCGCAGCTGTTGAGCTGTTTCAGGTATCGAACTATTGAACTGAATCAAGCTCTGATTTCAGACTTGTCAGAGCATTCATTCAGAGAGCAATTCGTGGAGCCTTTCACAAGGAGTCAGTCCAGTGACTTCCTTCTGCGTGGAAATGAAAATGTGGTTTTCCTACTCATTAGATGCTGTGAGGCTACAGCATATTCCTCCTCCTACAAGTAAATCTGTCAGTCCTCTGTGAACCATGAGGCTGTGGCTCACTTCACAGATGAAACCATCAGGTTCCACGTATTTGTGCATCTGTAGCACTATTTTTTTCAAATGGGATTGATCGTTATTTCACTTTTTTCTGGCACTTAACACTTCTTTTGTTATCTGAAAATGCAACATTCAGATGCATCCTGGCCTATGCTTATTTTAACTAGTCCAGCTAAGGGGAGCATGAACTGAATTACTATTTAGCATCCATCCACAAGGGCTAGCAAAGAGCATGTGACTTAAGATCGAGGCCAGGAGATAAGAGTGTAGATGGGTTTAGATGTTCAAGGCAAAATCCATAAAAGGACAAAATCCAGATGTTGCCAAGCAACACAGTTCCAAAACCAAGTGGGATCTTGTCTGGCTGGGATTGTCAGAGCACACCTGTGAGATCAGGTCTCTCTCAAATCTGCCTGGAGAAGGAAGAAGGTGATGTTTTTCTCCAAGTAGCCTAGTGGTAGTAATACTTACCTGCAAGGTCTGAAACTAGGGTTTCTATCATTCTTCTTTTGCTGAACGGGGCCAGTGAGAGTAAGGATGACTCTGAGGGACTCACCGGAAAAAATTGGCCACCAGTCCCATCTCCACTGAGTGCTTTAGTACCTCATGTATTATTCTGGATCAGTTGGCCACCCCAACAGGAGCCAAACCAACTGTTAAGTTTCAGACTGTAACAGCAAGACTTGAGCTGTGGCCAGAGAAGAGCCTGTGAATAAAACTCACCTGTCCGTTCCATCCACTGGAAGCCCTTCCATCTCAAACCGGCAAGAACAGCCATAGTCTTCAAAATCCCTTGGGCAAAGTCCAGTCACGCACTTCATTTTGTTCACAAAATTGAGCAATGCAGGGAAGTTAGTGAAGATAGACTGAAGCCAAGTGAAGTGAGAACCCAGACAGTCTGCAGAGAGAATAAATTAAGGGACATGGCACTTAGAGATGAAGGCAGGGTAAATTTTCACCTTGTAAATTAACCGATGGGTGGGTGGGTGGATGGATGAGTGGGTGGGTATCACAAGCTTTTGTGGACTGAAGCTCATTTAATCAGATCTGAGACATCATCAGAGACTTAGAAATGAAGCTGTTGATGTGCTCTTTCATGGACTTGATTGGAGAATGAGGGCTTAAGGCTGTGCAAGCGCTCTGGTCATTCTGGAGTGTTTGATATTGGCTTGAAGGGAAATCTGTCATTTCAGGATTTACCCCATTATTGATTCATATGTATAACAGCATATTCAATGCTGTTTTGACTTACAAAAGCAACCAATGCTCAAGTTGGTACTTACCAAAAAACAGTGTAACACTTTCTACATTTTGAAAGACTCCATTGAAGAATGTGATATTGTCTAAGGCAAAATAAGAAGAAACGCTGTTATAAATACATTGATAGGGGGAAAAAATGCCCTCCAGTGTGTGTCTTGCTTCCATTAATTCCACTATATCCATTCCAATGACAGACATAAATGGATTTGAGGAGCCAATATTGTTCTTAATTCTTAGTACTGTCAACCGAAATACTCGGCAATTGTGAGGGAGGTCCCCTCAGTGTCTCTAGAGAAAAGATCCCTGAATCTCGTACTCCATGGGCAATCAGCCCTGAGGCCAGTGCTGTTACATCCAGGGAAAATAGGTGCATGTAAAAGGTGAAGCCTGCTGTGAGCAGGGGTTTAGGTTGTAGCTGTGTTGGTCTAAGGATATAGGCAGACAAGGTTCCTTGGGTGAATTTGATGTTACCATGTACATGTGACAAAAATTTCCCTTTGTGTGGCTTAATGGTGTCCTACATTACAAGTATGTGAGTTTGGGGTGGTTTAAATGAATTTGCATCATTGCAAATTAAACTACATCCCAATGTAGTTTAGTTTGCAATGTTGCAACTGGGAATGTTACAGCCCTTAATCTGTCAGCTTGTCCCACGGCTACGGGAGAAGCGGGTAGGCTCTGCCGAAAAAAAGGATCAGGCCCCTTGCTGCTTCTTCCTTCAGCAGGCTCCTGTGGCCGGCAGGATGCCTGGGGCAGCCCAGGAACAGGCTGGCTTGCCCCTGGGGTAGTGCAGGAAGGCAGCAGGAGGGTGGCTAGGTGTGCTGGTGGCCAGAGAAGGTGGGAAGCAGGCTCCATTGGGAAACAGAAACATAAAACTCACCGTTTCAATTAAAAACTCACTATTTCAATTTAGGAGGCGTAGAATGCAACCCTGAAGGACTAAATGCCCATCGTACAAGTGCCCTGAGGTTGTTATTTAACCTCTG